GAGCAAAGTAAACTCCTGAGAGGTGTTTAGTGTGGACTGATGGTTTGCCTTTGTAGAGCTGTCCATGTTGTACCACACAAGTTGTTAATGTAGATAAAACCTTGAGGCCTCTAGGTTTTGCCGAGGGAAAAGACAGATGGAAAATTTGTTTCTGAGCTTGAAAATCCCCATTGTGCACAGATATTTAGGTCATGACTATTTAGATCCATGCCTATCTCCCTAAAATCCCGGGGTACAGACAAGACATATTTGATGAGGCAGAGAAAAGATAAAGCAAAGCCTGAAGGAAGTGAGATGGTGCCATAGGATCTCTGACCGTTTTAACTTGTCTGTGCTGTTCTGGTGCCCTGGTCTTCTGCACATCAGTTTCCCATGGAGAGAGCATAAAAACAGCTGAACTTTCCTTGGCCAAGGGGACCTGGCTTCGCAGGTTGCTCTTTTTGCTGGGAATATTGAATCTTTATTATTGAGGATGAGCTTCATCTATGTGGCCAGCAAGTTCAGTGAACCTGAAAACTCCAAGCGAAACCCAAGCAAAGCCACACAGTTTTAAACACTCTTGGATGGACTAAAATCCCCTCCGCAGCGTCAGCTTCATGCGCAGGGGAGGAGGTGGAATGCTCCAAACTTGGCTCTGATTTACCCCAAGCTTTCTGGAAACTCCTCACAGTGAGGCCAAGAGCAATGTTTGCAACAGAACTTAAAACCGAGCAAAATTTATCATGTTTTGAGTTTGTTAATGAAAGGTTAGATCAGCTTGGGATGTGCTCTACTGGGATGAGATGAGAAACAAATTCTGCCCTTAAGAGCCAATTTCGTATCCACTGAAATGATAGGCAGAAGTCCCAGGGAAGCAAGCTCAGGCCTCCGAACGCTGTTGGAAAAGCAGCTACCACAGTTCTCTGTCACTCTAGTTAACCATCTATAAACAGTTACTCACTTGACCTTTATTTGATCTCTCCCTCTGCCCTCTAAGGAATCTTTTGGGACCGACACATTATGGATATCTCTGTGCACATGAACGTTTGAGACGATTTTACTGTAATGAGAGCAGATTTCTTGGAACTCAGTGTGAAACCTGGTTATTTGGGGAGAGTTTTTTTCTTCTGCAGAGCAGACAAATCCAGCAAATCACTTCTCTTAGTTTATTAGTTGTGAATACTTAATGTTGAAAGCTTGTTTGCTATGCTTGTAAAAGGGAGAGGTTAAACTAGATATGGCAATAAGGAGGAAAAATAGTCTTGGCACTTCTAACAAGGCTAAAGAAAGAAGTCAAGAATGATCTTCAAGACTTTCTGGGGTTGTTCCCTTCTATTTGCTTTTTGGATGCTTAGCAAGTCTACAAAGTCTACAAGCTTTTACCTTAATGGTAATAGTCTTGGCCAAAAAAAAACATAACAAAACAAAAGAAAAACATTACTCATATAGCAGAGTTGCAAAAATAAAGCTACTATTAAGGAAAAAAAAAAGGGGCAAAGCAAGAATGACAATAAGATGAATGTAAAGCTACGGGTATACAGTCAATCACTGAAGGGAGAAGAACACTACATGGATGCCATTTCTGTTTTTAAATAAAGCAGTTACGATTAAATTACAAAAGAACATAAATATGTAGTGATATTGGAACACTCAAAATCTCCAAGCACTCTTAACTCTGCACCCTAAGGAAAAAGGATATCATGCAATAGTTACACAATATTGATATTAGCGTTTTAGCCTCTTCCATTTCTTTCCCGTGATGATACAGCCTCATACTGTACTCCAAAGCAGTGGAAATGTGCTTTAAAAAACATGTCTTAAAAAGCTCCTATAAGGAACTAACTCTTAGAGGTATCTCTTAGAGATACTAAACTGCTGCAGTCAGGATCATGTGGACCGTGCAGTGGTGTTAGGGCAAGGTAGAGATAGTCAATTTGGTGTCTTAATTGTGCAGTCCCACAGGCTAATACATACAGAGTTGTAAATGTAATTAACTAAGGTTAACTCTACATCAATGAATTTCCTAGGATTAAATCACTTGGTTTGTAATGTGTTTTATACTGCTGATATGGATTATGAATTTTAACTCCACATAAATGTAGATTCTGCCTGAACATTAATGACAGTTCAAAAACTGTGTTTAGTTATAGCAAATATTAGGAAGAATCGTAGATAAATAATAGTGGAATACAAGATGCAATCAGGGATCCTATTTTCCCAAATTGAGAAGATTTAATTTAATTTTTAACTCACGACAACAAAATATTAATAATGCATTGTATCATATCATGCAGAAATTGCTTGCTTTAGACAGAATCTATGGGGATTTAAAACAACTTTGGAGAGTAATGATTTCATTTCTAGGTTATGCCAGTCTAATATTCTAAGGAACAGCAACGTTGCCATCTCCTCATTTGACAGGAAATGTAATTTGATTCAAATACACTGAAAATCTGGCATATTGTACTATTTTGTTAAAAGCTGTCTCAAGCTGTGTTGAAGCCAAAAGTCTGTTTAAGGTTTCTGAATTCATCCTTCCTTTCTCAGTGTTCAGATGAAACATTGGCCTCGGTGTCCGTCAGGAGCTCTGGCTGCAATTGGTTGTGTTCGGGGTGGGATTCAGCCACCCAGCTCATCGGGGGTGGAGAAGGGGGTTTCTGAGCATTTGGAAGAGCACAGGTCAATTCTGTGGGAGTTAACATGAAGTTGAAACGAGCTTTTTGCGGAGTTTTAACACTTTCCCAGTCATTTGAGTGTCTTTGAAGCATACAGTTCATTCAGTTCATAGTTCTAGGTTTGGGGGGCAAACCACAAAATTCTTGTTGATTTTTTTTTCTTTGTTTTTGTTTTATGTTTGTTTTGTTGCTGTTTAAATCTCAAGCTGAGAATCACTGTGCCATAAATGACATTTTTTTCTTGATTGGAAAAAGGACACAGTCTCTAAAAACCTGCTTGCTGTTCGAATGAGCTCAGTGGCTCCATGTAGTTCCCTGCCGTGAAGCTGTGGACGCGACCCCGGACTCGAGTGGTGCCGAGTGGGTCCCTGCACTTCCCAGCGCCGCTGCCTGCACGGGAGCCGCTCGCCTGCCATCCGGGAGGGCTCTGAAGTGAAACAACCCCGGGTATCTCGGGGCAGTGCTGAAGGGTGAGCAGGCTGCACTGATTCCGTAAGGCAATCCCGAAGTGGTGCCGGGCTGGCGGCGGCGGCTCCCAGGCTCACTGGTCGTGGCAGAGCTGCCTGTGGCAGCCGCAGAGCGCGGGCACCAGAGCATCCTGCAGACCCGAGGGCAGCGCGAGCCTGGGTGACACTGAGCTCACTGTATCCCGCAGGGATCCAGGGAGAGCGCGCGTGTCCCTGCGCTACAGCCCTCCGTGCGGGGGTCTGCCCAGGCATTACCGGCATCCGACCCTTTCTCCTTTAGGGTTACGCAGCACAGCATGTTTGCACATCTCGGGGTGCAGACGGGGAGACCGTGCTGCTCAGATTTAACTCGCACTTAGTCCTCACCTGGTCCTTACAATCAGATCGTGGGCTGTTGTTTTCCCTCTGTGCCGGTAGAAGTGGCAAAGACACTGATATCCCTGTTGGGCGAGTGCAGCGAGGTGATGCCCGTGGATGAGCTGGGGCGCCGGCGGGACAGCCATGCTCCTTGCAGGGTTTGCAAAGCGACCGAGAGCCGGTGCTGCCAGACCTGACGGGTGCCGCAGCCACTACAAGGGCAGTAGAAAGGCTCAAAGTGGTTGTGATTGTGGGATGTTTCTGTACATCGGGCTCATGCACGGAGATGCATTGCACACTGTGTAAAAGGTAAATTGGGAGAACAAGATCAGCATAAATTCAGAGGCCTTTGGCAGACAATGACAAATACGACTAATGAGATTTAGAGGAGCTGGGTGTGAAAATCAGGGCTTTGCTGGCTTCAGATGTGCGAATGGAGCCAATTTGTGGCCTGATGTTGGTAAGAGCATTTTCCTGGGCTATCAGAAACAAGCCCTGCAGGTGAGGCAGCCACAGGTAACCCAGGTGCAGGACTTGCATCCCTCTCCCCCAGGGATCATAGGTTGAAATTAGCCGGGGTGCAGGCTGCCAACCTGCCCCTTCAGACACCTCCAGAGCCAGGCCAGCTGTGCCGAGCCCGCCTGCTCCGTGCCAGTCTCCTCGGGATGCCTTTTTCAAATGCAGCTGAGCGGCCCGAGCTCAACCAAAGTCCCCTGGATTTATTTAAAGTATTGGATGGCAGCAAGGAGGGCTCGTGGACCAGAGCACAGACAGCGAGGTCGTGCTGAAGGCAGTTCCACTTGACAGAGCTGCCATAGCTGCGATACCAAGGAGGCAAAACGGGGCAGAAAACGTGGAAATACGTTGAGCTAATACAGGGGAAGAGGTGGTGTCTCAAGCCTTCTACCCCACAAAACTTCTGCGAGGAGGTTTGCGTGAGGCCCTGCACCTGAAGTCCACGGAGCCTGTGAGGGTCCTGACTGGCACCCACCAGGTTGGAGGGGGTTTCTCCTCCTCCCGGTGGGAGTGCGGAGAAACGGCAGGGTTTGTCCCCGAGCTGCTGCCAGCCCTGGCAGCTCCCACAAGAGCAGAGGGGTCGGGGAGCCCAGAAGCGCGGGCGGGCGGCACAGCTTGGCAAGGGGGGGCTTTCCTGTAGGTGTCCCCCCACACACACACCCCGGGGCTGGGGCAGTGACCAGGACGGCCCCGCGTGTCCGTGTCGCGCGTGGACAGCTCAGCCTGGCCGAGGCAGGTGCTGTTCGGGGAGCCGGGCCGAGCGCTTCGCCTGCGGGGAGACGGAGCGCAGAGAGGAGCCCTCGCGCTTTTTTGGTGCCTTTCCAAACATTTTTACCAGAGGAAGGATGTAATAACACGCCTCGGGCAATAAATCATAGGCCGGCTACTCCCCCTGGCTCCCCTCCCCCCGCGCCGGCGCTCCCGGCCCCTCTATAGAGGCCGGGGAGGAGGGGACTCGGGCAGAGCCGCCGCCGTCCCGCGCCGCAGCCCGGCACAGCCGCAGCCCCGGCCCCAGCCCCGGCCCCAGCATGGACGTGCGAGCCCTGGCGCTGCTCGCCCTCGCCCTGGCGCTCGTCTCCCTCTCGGAGGGTAAGTGAGCGAGCTCGCCCCGCGCCGTGTGCCCGGGCGGCTGCTGCAGCGCGCAGGGCTCCGCGCAGGGCTCCGCGCGGTGCCCGGGCGGCTGCCAGCGCGCAGGGCTCCGCGCAGGGCTCGCGCGGTGCCCGGGCGGCTGCTGCAGCGCGCGGCTCCGGAGGCCGCGCGGAGCGACGCGCTCAGCTTGCAGCGCAGCGAGAGCGGCCGGGCCGGCGCTGGGGCCGGTGCCGGGGCAGGCTCGGGAGCCGCGGGGCCGGGTGCGAGCTGCGCGTGTCGGCCGCCCGCTCGCTAGGCTGGCAGTGACCGAGGCGCGGCGGCCCCGAGCCCAAGCACTGAGCCCGCGCCTACCCCGAGCTCGAGCCCGCGCCTACCCCGAGCCCGCGCCACGATCGGGGCACCGCTGGCCGCGGGACTGGCACTCACCTGCGGGACGGGCGGCCCCTTTCGTGCCCTCCTGGGGGGCTCCGCGGCTCCGGAGCGAGCGCCCGGGCCAGGCTCCGCTCCTATTGCATCCTCCCGCCCTGGCGACCGAAACTTGGGCGTCCCCCGCCCAGGGTGGGGAAGGATCCCTCTCCGCGGGCTCCTTTTGTTTAGAGTAAACGGCCGTTGATGCTTTCGCCCGTTCTCCTCCGCGGTTCTGCCCCAGGAGTAACCGTTTTCCAGGGAAAGGGCGCAAAAAGCCACCGCGGAACCCGCAGCCACCCCAAGAGAGCAGCAGAGCCCCGGCCTGCCCAGCTAGCAGAGCAGCGCCCGGAGACAGGGAATCGGGGCGCCCGGAGACAGGGAATCGGGGCGCCCGTGGCTGCTCGCGGCTGCGGCGCCAGCCCCGCTCAGCGCACCCCGCTCCCCGCCTGCCCCCGGGCAGAGCTGGGGTCCCCCAGCACAAGGGTGCACAGGGTGAGGATGGGAGCAGCCCGCGGCCCCTTCGATGGGGGCTGATTTGGCTGCAGGGGCTGTAGCTGGGGCAAGGCAGGACCTTGGTCCCCCTGTCCCAGGGACAGGGCACATCCCTGGTCGCTGAGCACGGAGCGGGGATCGCACATGCTGTTCTGCAGCCCAGACTCCCTTGTTCCTTCTGTTTCGGGAGCCCTTCCGCTGCTCCCAGGAGCACCCGGCAGCCCCGGGATGGCAGGAGCAGGGCACTGGTGCCAGCCCTGTGGAGCAGTGAGGGCCCGGTGGGTGCGGAGCTCAGGGGCAGCGCAGAGCCGGGCTCTGCAGCAGGGATGTCCCTTCCCCTGCCCGCTGGGGCAGCGCTCAGCGCTGGGCAAGGGGCTGTCACAGCAGCCCAAGCAGGGCTCCTTAGCCGCCTGCGAGCGGCAGGGGGTACTTTTATGGCAGGATAAGTGTGTTAGGCCTGCCTGCTTCAGAAAGTGAATGGCTTCAAATGTTTAGAGAGAAATTAGTGTATGTAAAGAGACACCACAGGCTTGCTTGCGTTGGTAAGAGGTCTTTTTGTCTGCTTGTTTGTATGTCAGGGTGTTCACAGCCCTGCTCCAGATAAGCAGTTGCAGGGCTACCTGTCCCGTGGATCGGGAGAGCAGCGAGCTCTGCTCAGCCCTCCTGCTCTTGCTGTGTCTGCCCATCGCAGCCTTGCTTGCCCGATAGGGAGATGGAGCTGCTCAGTCTTCAGCTGCCGATCTGTGGCCGCTCAGCAGCCTGTGCAGCTGGTGACAAATGCTCCTCTGGTGCGTGCCCAGCCTGCTGGCGTGTGCATTGCTCCCCTCTCTGCTCCTGTGTCCCGCACAGCTGCTTACAGGTGGTAACTTCAGTGCAGGGCCAACAGCTCCTGCGTTGAGGCAGGGTAAAACAGGGACTGTGCACCCTTCACAGGCTGGGTATCACCTCCTGCAATGGAGGTTTTTGTGTGTGTTGTCTCTAGTGAGTGTTTCCCAACCAAGGTGTTTAGAGCTAACAAAACTCAACTTTGAATGTTAAAAAATTTGTCTATTCAGGACCAAAAGAAGGGTGTTCTGTTTGTCTAATGTAGTGTGTCTGAAGAAAGGACATTAAGGTGTCAGACTCTTCTTTAATTCAACCTAGTGTACCAAACAGATAAAGGTCTCAAAGACTTAATGTACATCAGCTTCATGAAAACAGCAGTTTTCTCGTGGCAGTACAAGTGACAGACCATAGTAATGTGTGCCACGGAGGGAATGGCCTTAGCCTGTGCTCAGGAATTTGGGGGTATCAGAGCACTCGCTATTGCACTGCATGGCTTAGAATAACTGGCTTAATCAGCTCTACTATGCATTGAACAACTTGCTCCAAACTTTCAGGAGAGATTAGGAAGATGCAGACATCGGCCTCAGGACAGACCAGGGATGCCACTTGCGAGTGTTCCCCTCGTTCTTGTTGCGGGGAATCCCACGTGCACTAGATGTCCCTGCCGGCAGCTCGGGGAGCACAGGGAGTCCCAGCCAGACTATTTGCCCGAGCACTGAGGAGCAGTGGCAGGAGGTGCTAGTTCCCTGCTCGTGATGCTGAGAGCCGCCCCGATGCACGTGCTGCCCGGCGCCCACTCCTCATCGCCAACCGAGCACCACAAAATCGCCACAGGGATCCTGGTGCCGGGAGAGAAGCCACCGCCGCACCTTGTGCAGCCTTCTGCAGCCCTCTGCACCACGCTGGCGAGGCGGGAGGATGCCAAATGCTGGGATGTTCTCTCTTCCGCTCAGTGTTGGCTTTGCTTTGCTGTGTGGGAGACAGCCTCGGGATTCATAGATGCTTTCAGTGATGGGTGAGCTCTCCTTGCACCTGCTTTCAAGTGGCATGACATCAAAACTGCCTCTGCACCTGAGAGAGGACAGGACTGCACTCCCACTCACAGATCTGAACAGTTCGTCCCTTGCAAATTGTTTAGAGAAAAGTTTGTTTAAACTTTATTACTGCAAGCTTGCAGAGGTACTTCCTCTGCAGCTGCACTGAGCGCTAACAGTTGCATTCAATTTCAGCCTCCCTTTCCTATATAAACCCACTGATCCGTAGTTATCAGACGAAGATTTGCACTCGTGTCTAGTATTACTAGCTGCTTTCCTGGTAGCTACTGCCACATTAGCACTAATCAGCACGGTGCAAGTTTGCATTGCTTGCAGTGAATGGATGGGGCAGCCTTGCAGACCTCCCCATCCCGTACCAGATTGCAGCTTCTCCTCCCATTTCTTGATTTACAGATGACGGCACTGTTGAAAGTGACTGGTTGCCAGGAAAACGGAGGGGGAAAAGTCCTCCAGGTCCCTAGACTTCTTGTTCAGTTTCTGAGCCATGGCGTGAATGTGGAGAAACTCTGCTTACATTAATGAATTCCTCTGTGTTTTCATTTTTGCCAGTAGGATCAGACGCTGGCTTGTTGCTTGTAATATGAGTAGCTCAGGGGGAAAAAATGGGTTTCCCTCCTGAGGAGAGGGTAACTCCACGGTGTTGCCTGTGGTTTTGTTTGCTAGCGAGAGGCATTGGTAAATGTGTAATATAAACAGATGGGCTGCCCTTTGAAAAGCTGTCTCTTTTCTCACCTTCCTAGACAGCAGTTTGAGGATTCCGAGCCCTTCCCTGTGCTATCCATCTCCCTCTGTCTTTAAGGGAGTTGGGTCTGGATGCTGTAAATGCTCCTGTGTAGCTAAAAGCCTGGCTGCAGATTGCCACGCTGGATCCAAAGCCCAGTTAGATACGGATCTGGCCATTGGCAGCGTGAATCAGACCTCATGGGTTAGGTCCCTTTCTGTGAATTCGGTTGCCTTCAGAGGCTGAAAACTGCTCCGAGGGGAAATGGTTTGAAATCTTAGTCATTTCTTTCTCGACGTTGCTTCTGTGTTTGGGTTCCAGTGTGCATGGGGCTGTGAAGCTTCTGCAGAGAGCAAGGACTTTACTTATTTACATTAGTTATTGGTTATTTTAATCCTTACATGGAGAAATCAGGCAGAGGAGGCTTCACTGCATCAGATGCCGTGACTGCTTTTCTCAGTGCTCAACGTGTTTAACATTGCTGCTTTCTAACCTTGGGGGCTAAGTTTAATCCAGTCCCCAATGATGCTAATGATAAGATTTTCATCCTGTCTGGTGGTCCCTGATTAGCTTGTGGCGAGCACGCTGCCTGATAAGTGTCTCCCTGAATTGCTGTTACTTTGCCATAGGCTCGGAGTTCAAAAGACTCCAAATCTTTTCTTTAAAGCCAGTGTGATCTTGCATGGCTGTGTTACACCTCCTTGGGTAACAAGAGGTTGGCTGTAGTGGAAAAGGTCAGCGCTGGGCCCTGGGAAAGCCTCAAAGACTCGGGCTTTTCTGTGGCCGGTAAGTCCCCGGTGAAAAGCCTGCACCTGAGCCGAGCTGTTTTGATCTGTACTCTTTGGAATTCATTGCTTTCTTCTGGCTACCTTCTAATTTGGCCTCGGGTCAAAATCATTTGGCAAGAACAACGCTGAGGACAAGTGCCCCCTCTTTTGGCCTTTATCTTGTCTAATTACCAGGAGCATCCCTGTACAATGGAGTGGCTCCTTACTCTAATCTCTTCTCCTTCTCTTATCTCCAATTTCTCTCCCCTTTCTTTTGTCTTCCAAAATCCTACGCAGCAGGATTAAAAGGTTGGGGAATGGGGCAAGAGGATTGCACTGTGCGCTGTGGACAAATGCTGTTCCAAAGCTACAACTCTCCTATTGCCTCTTTTTTTTTCCCCCTGCATATTTGAGGTCTAGAGAGGGGTGTCTGTGAGCCCTACTCTCTCTATCTGCACTACTCAGAGGGAATAAGAAGGAGTAACCCATCTTGTCTCTCATTCTCTCCCACAGAGAAGCCTGTCAGCCTGACTTACCGATGTCCCTGTCGCTTCTACGAGAGCAACGTGGCCAGAGCCAACATTAAGCACCTCAAAATCCTCTCCACACCCAACTGCTCACTTCAGATTGTGTAAGTCTCTTAAATCTCTTCAGATCAGTGCAAATCTTAAGAGAGTCACAGAGCTGGTTGCTGCTTCGTGGGTTACCCCTTATCATTGGTACACCTAGGTCTCTGTCTTGTGCGGTGATTTCCAGGTCACCTCTTCACTCCATGAGCCAGGTGCAGCTAGGACCTGATTTACCCCACACAAAGGGACCCAGATGGATCCTTCCTAGCTGTAATCTGCCTCTGTGCAGATTACATGTGGCCCCATGTCCTGTTTTGTTCAAAAAGAAACAAAAAATTTCAGGAAGATTTTTGTGTGTATGCATATTAAGAAAACCTTTTTGTTTTTTTCCTTTCTTTTTTTTTTGGGGGGGGGGGGGTTGGGGTGGATGGGATGGCCCCCTTTCTACCCTCACAAAATTCAAAATCTTCAGGAAAAAAGCATCAGTATTCATCTTTTCACTGTGAGGGAGCTTCAGTACTATCAGCTTCTACTGACCTCTGTGAGGGAGTCTCAGTGATTACATTGGGTGTCTGTGCAGTGCTCCTATCACAGTTTTATCTGCTGAGCTCTTCCACTTCCAATACAAATTTTGTAAAAGTCTATCCTTTGTCATGCAAAACACTTCTACATTTGGAAAACTGGTGTGGTTTCATGAGATTTCTCAGGAATGTGCAGAGTTATTGATGGGCATGCATCCATTCATGAGCAAGTGTTTATTCATATGGATTCTTTCTTTTTTTAAACCACTGTGGATGATCACACACACATTCTCATTGTGCCTCTGCCTTTGCATTTGGTGGAGGACAGTGAGAAAAAAATGTAAGTCCCAGCTGAGAAATAATTTTCTTCAGCAAAAATGGCAAAACCAGCTGTGAGTAGCTCTGATCTCTACCTATATGTTTTGGAGGCAAGCATCCAAAAGGCAAAGAGTGTACGGATTTATGGTCTCCTGGGATGGTCAGTGGATGTCATAAGGGTCCCAATGCTAAGGCTTTGTAGAGGATTTGGAATTATCTGGAGTATTTTCAAGAAAATGTCAGACTTTAAATGGGATACAGTATGCATTTTTCTCTTGATTAATGTGGGATTACAGTCATTAGAGATGGATTAGAGCATGAAATACAGAAACAGAAACAACCCATGTTCTCACCCATTCCTGATCCAAATGTGTCTGCAATGATGATACTGGAATTAATGATACTAGAAGACATGGACCTATAGTTCACCATTGTTCTGCTGTGTAAAAAAGAGAGGTACCTAAACCAAAAGCTTACCTCCAAATGCCTGTGAGACATGACAGGTTGGAAGCAGGTCTTTACAAGAACACAAGTTGAAATGGACTCAAATTTAACATAAGAGAGTCTCTTCTTGGTAGTTTTAGCCACACACTGAACTCAGTGTATTATAAAATGCACGAGTGAGTAACTTCAAAGTTACTGGGAGAATCCACCATTGTCAGCAGAGAATCTAACTGAATCTAACTGAAACCATATAGGTTTGTTAGCATAGGTTCAAGGAAAGATCTTGCAGTTTTGCTCAGGTACATTGCCTTGGAATTTTACTTGAACAAAAAGCCTAGGGAAAGACCTTTGTTATCATCTCTCCAAATCCAGAAATCTCCTTTATGGATGTCTGCTTCTATTAAGCCCATCCTAAATGTGCTGTTTTCAGTGCAAGGAAATGGACATTTTTAGCACATAGTCAATTGAATTCTAGATTAGACATGAGCGCTCCTTACAAATGTCCACTTGTCTGAAGTGACTGCAAAGGAGCATGGGCCGAGTGGCTCAGAAATAAATATATCCAAAATCCATGTCTGAACGTGGGGTGAGAGGAATTGCACCGCAGGTGGCCGGCGGCTGGTTACGTGTGCTTGGTGTTCTCTGTGGCCAGCTTAATAGCACTCAGGCCCTGCTAACATCTGCAGATTAATTCTCACTTTCTGTTGGCATCACTCCACTGGAAATACTCCAGATTGGCACTGCTGCAAGGGAAATATGACTTAGGGCCATTCACTGCTTTACTGGCATAGGACTGGCAGGACTGGATCTTCAAAGTGTTTACATTACAACTATGCTGTTACATAACTTCAGAGCAAGGAGCCTTTTGACCTGTTACTTCTTACATCATATCTTTATACTCTTTAAATTCCTTTTTATAAAGATGGGAATATTTGGCTCTAATCCAACAAAGTACTTAAGCAAGTGCCAAACGTACTGCTGTGGATCTGTGGATACTTCCATGAAATTGCTATTCTTGGCACTTCTACATGTTAGGCTGCTTAAGGGGAAATTTCTAAGCATCTAGGGAAGAGGCTGAATGCCTAGGGAGAAATGAGAGATCACAGCACTCTTATGAAATGCTGAGATCCCTGAAGGGTGAGACTGTTGACATCAATGAAGAGCCTTTTGTACCACTTCTGTCTGAAACATGTCGATAACCTAAATCCCCAGGCTGTTAGGAGGATTTTGCTTCAGATAAGTGTATTGATGTTTTCTTTGCAACAAAATCAAATTATCTAAAACTTCTGGGTTTTAAAGGATAGCTTGGCCATTCAGGAAATAAGGAGAAACCCTTAAAGAAGCTTCTGCTTTTATTTTTTCCAGTACGGACTGGAAATGAGGGAAAACTTGCCTCTGGCACTGAGGTGCTTCCAGTTCTCTTCCTGCCTGCAGTCTACTGAATTAGTAGATGCAAACTGGAAAACTCTGATTCAGGTTCTTCATCTCTTCACCCCAAGTGTCCCAGCACAAACCCCCAGGAACCAATATGAGAGGGGACAAACTGCATCAGTCTTTCAAACCTGGGAAGATACATATAAGGGGTCTCTTTAGGATAGAAAGGATATCCTAGCCTCTTCCTGGGCTAAATGAGAGCAGCACTACGGCAATCAGACACTCTGTCATCATGCATGGTGTAAGTGCACGTGGCAAACCTGCGTGCCACGTGAAGCTGGGGAAGGTGGGCTGAGAGCGTTGCACACTAGACTCACTCTAACTCTTTTCCTTTGGCAGTGCAAGGCTCAAGAACAACAGCAAGCAAGTGTGCATTGATCCCAAGTTAAAGTGGATCCAGGAATATCTGGAGAAAGCTTTAAACAAGTAAGGCAAGAGACAAATGGACTTAACAGCTAAAACATCCTCAGTTATTAAAGGGTAGAACGTTAAGGGCTGGCTTTAACCGTGCGGACAAGTACTCATGGAATCAGATATTGATTTGAAGATGGGCTTGGAGTTGACCTAGTTGATCTGTATTAAAACACCAGCTTCTAGTATATCCGAAATGTTTAACTAAGAGCTTTGCTGGGATTTGGGGCAAAAGCTGTCCTAATGAATCTGTTATGGGGTCCCCAACTCATCCTTTTTTAAAAAGAGCCGTTCTCCCAAGGAAAATGCTTCCTTTATGGCCCCTCTTCCCCAACTCAAACCACAATTACTTCAAAATTTATATTGTTCCAGTTCCTTTGGAGCCCCTTCTCCATGTTACACTGGGAGTCTGTTTGCACAGGTAGTGAAGGCCTAGTGGGTCCTAACAGTCATTTTTTTTCTCTGCTGGCCAGTATGGAGTGCTGTTAATATCTGCCAAAGAAAGATGCACTGCCATGAATCCGGCTCTCCCTGAAGGGAAGAGCTAGGGGAAAACTTGCCTAGCAAATAGAGAGGTGTTTTTTTCATCTATTTTTCTCTCTCTTGCAAGTGGCTGTTTATGGCTGTCCTGAGATGGACCCAGTCTCTCTCTGTTGAATTTTATTGTTGGCAAAGAGCAGCACAGAGAACATTTCTGTGCTGAGCTGATGGGGAGGGCTACAGCCTTCCTTGGAAGGAAGATGAGACAAGTGATGGGGCAAAGCAGTTCCTTGCTTGCCCAAGACCCTCATCTTGGGTTGATCCAGCAGGGACATTTCAGCCAGAAATCCCACCTGTGCACTCAGAATCCCTCCTGCCTTTGCCACCACATTCCCACCCCTCAGTAACCATGCTGAACCTTACCCTTGCTGCCTCTGTTTGTGGGGTAGAGGCAGGGTTGGAATCAAGTCATCTGCAGGAGGAATGAGGAATTTCTCACAGAAATCCAGGGAAGAGTCTTTCCCCAGGGCAGATGGAAACCAGGGCAAGTAGTTGAATGCCCTCCTCTGTGGGCAGAGGGATACAGGCAAAGAGGTATATTCCTCTCCCTCTGTTTTTTATAGTAAGCAAAAGAGAAATGATACTGGGGCAAAGGGATCCCTTCCTATACCCCTTTGGGGGTTAACATTGGAGCTGTGAGTGAGGAGGGAAGGAAACCACCTAACAAGCTGACTGTGATTCCAACCCTGCCAGCTCTTCCCATCCCATCTGATGCTCAGTGCCTTCCTTGCTGCCAGCACTCAGCCCTGTTGTCCTGTGGGCAAATTTTTCTACAGAGATGATTTCTCTTAACGTGGCCAGGATGACTTTGGATTTAGGCACAGGATGCCTAAAGGTATCCTAAGAGCAGGATGTGGCCCTTGCTGATGATCCTAGGGTCTTGGCTGCTTGGGTTTCCCAACGTGGAAAAACTGCCAAGCCCATGCCTAGATTTCTGCTTACTTTGAGCCCCAATGGAGGTGTAGGCAGTGATAATAAGACTTGAAACTGAGGAGGCACTTAAGAAACGTGCAGTGTTGGGTTATGTGATTATGTGCTCAGATTCTGCCTGCCTCAGTTAGGGGATCAGCCCCTCTGGGACACATTCTGCTCTCACTTTCACTGGTGAAGATCTTCACCTGATCTCCAGCTAGATTCTGGCTTTTATTTACCTAAATATAACTCGGAAGCAATTCTGTTAACTCAGTGGATTTCATCCAGGTTTGCCCTGAGTAACAGAGGAGAATTTGTTCCAAACTCTATTATATAAGGAGACAGAAATCATACATCCCCATCACCTAATCCTATAATCATGGCATTATTCTCATTTTTCCAACCAGTAATGCTAGCACCAATGGCATTTTCATGCTTCATAGACAGCCAGGGCTCTGTCTGTAGCATTTTCACAAGGCATGTTTTTCATATATTTTAGTGCACAGCTTTGACTTCTTCAATGAAATGTATTTTGGAATATATTTATAGTGCATCAAACAATTCATATATTTGAATTGGAGCCATATGAATGTTGGTAGTTTAGAACACCGATATCCCTCTAAACTACTAACAGCTTGTAAAATAAATCTATATAGATCTATAAATGTTAATGTAGCTATCAATTTCAATCAGCCATATATTATATTTTTTCACTTGTACTGAGATTGTATGAAATGTGACATTACACTATATGCACTAGCAATAAAATGGCTAATTGTTTCATGTTATGAAAACCCAATTGTACATGGGAATTTATTTTTCTGGAATAAAATTAATACATTTTGTAGAAAGGGCTCTTGTAATCGATTAAGTAAAACCCAATGTTAAGATAGCCTAATTTATACCAATGTTTCAATAAAAGGGTATCTTTTGTGTTATAATCTGCAGCTACAGGCAGGAAAAGTTCATAGAATACAGTAGTCCAATTCTGTTGACTGTGAAGCCAGAGATGGCTTTAGTCGGAGTTATTTTGCTCACTAATTCTGCTTAGCATTTATTATTGCTTTGTATTCATCACATTTCCATGTAATATGCACACTTATGAGACATGAGTAAAATACATGCAGGCTGTCAGGAATCCAAATTCTTTAACTGGCTTTAGAAATCATTATGCAACTGCTGTGGCCAACATCATTCAACACTCATCCGTTTTGTAGACAAGGGGCAAATCAACCCTTTCCTGAAATTGCTAACAAATCCTTTTCCATTTTCAAGCAATTCCAGTCATCATTTAAAGTCCATCATTGATTGCCTTTTCCTTCTCCCTTCACACAAGGATTTGCAAAATTTAACCCTCATGGAGTTAAGAGAGCTGCAAGTAAACAGGGTTCAGAGAAAGATCCTTATTTGTCCATTGTCCCATTAACATAGTCCTGACTCTAAACTTACCCAGCTTGAGATGTTGGAATCCATTAAGCTCAGCTGTTACTTCTGGCACAGACCAGTGAGCTGATGGATCTGGGGAAGATAACAAACAGGAAAAAGCCTTTCCCTGAGTCTGCTGGGACAGGGGAAAGGAAACTCCCAGACTCCAGGGGCTGGTTGCAGTGGAAGCCAAGGTCTGCTGTTGCCTTCCTCTGTAGTGCTCCTAACTCCAGGTGTGACCACTTCTGTAGTTAACTGATCTCATTCATAGTAACTGAATTGCAAGAACCAAAAAGCAGTCTACCAGTACTCCAACAAATGTGCTGGATGAATGCCTTGTGCAAGCATCCTCACAGCCTCATTCTCCATGTGCCCACAGATCCATCACAGTAACTTCTGGCTCTTGCTGGTATCAGAGGGAATGGGGGGTGGGAAGCCAGAAGTCCAGCTGCCCTCTGCTTTCATTTTCCCCTCCATGAAAACCATGTGGATGGTGAGCCTCCTGGCTTATACGTTTTGGCAGGTGTTTGGGATGCCCAAGTGTTTGGGGGCAAAGAGTTGTTCTGGACTCAGAATGTTCCAATGGACTGTCCCTGGGTTCAGTGTCCCTCTGAGGCAGGTGTCTGAATGGGGATGTTATCCTCATTTGTTCCCTGCTAGAGAGATTTGAAGGGACCGTAAGATAAATGTAAACAAGACCTTTGTAAATGGATAATTTATGGCAGTCTCTTTGTATTTTTCTTTTAATTTAGACCACGTCATCGCACTCATAAAAAAAAGCAACAGAAGAAACGGGGCCTACGCTGCCCTTCCCGTGCAACACCAGTAAAGTCTCCAGGGAGAAAGAATGGTAGGAGGCACTAGTTTCTGAGCTGGGAGAACCCGGGTTGAATTCCCTGCTCTTCCACAGACACGTCCTGTGTCATCTTGGGCAAATCTCTTAGCCTCTCTTGGCCTCCATTTTCCCCTGTGTTTGCTGAGGATAACAACTGTACCCTCCCTCCAAAAGAATATTTTGAAGATTAACCTCTCAAAGCAGGGGGAAAAATCAGTCACAGTAGAGGTGGGGGTGAAAGGGATAGAATATCTTTAAACTCCAGTGCAAATCTGAAGTGTTGATTTCACTTTTGTTTCACCAAGGATGAATGTATCCCAGTTGTGGTAGTATGAGGATGACTGTGAACATCGATTCGTTGTTCTCTTGAAGTTGGCCACGCTATAATGGCACTGCTTGCTTCTCTAAGAGATGCTGGGAGTGCAGCAAAAAGTCTTAGTGTGTCTCACTAAGTTGACAGTAATATGTGGAGCAAAGCCTGTTGATTCCTGTCCAGTCTGTACCCCCTTGATTTCCTCCACACAAATACCAGGGCATGGAGGGGGCTGGTAAAAGGCATGTTTGGGATCATATGTTTTATCCACCTCTAATTTCCCAGACATATCTTAGCACTTTCCCCATGCTCTGTATTGTCAGCAGTGTCTGGGCAGGAGCTGCTTCATCCTTGCAGTCTTCATTATAGAGATGCTGGCTAAAGTCTGTGATCCTCTTCTACAGCTGAGGAAACAGATCCAAAGAGCCAAAATACCCCTGAAGAAAAGCCAAAGTTAAAAACAGGGTAAAGTTTTGGAAACCCTTTGTTTCTCGAAAGAGGAGAATTTTCCTCGTGGTTTAGTCATACTTTTCTATTTCTGGATGAGTTGTCTGAGGCTACCTTCATGGGGAGTAGCCATAGCTGTCTCTGGCTCTGGTCACACAGTTTAACTTGCCCCGTTGGCATTGAAAGGGATGTGTGTTCTGATCCTGTAAGCTAGACAAGGCTTGCTGAGGCATCAGGATTTTCAAATACCCGGGGTTTACTGTCTTGCAGTAGTTCTAGTTCTGCCTTAGTGACTCCATCTAAGTCATAAAAGGCTGATCAGTCTGGAGCAGGAACTGGGGTCACTTCAGGCAAAATCCAGAGGCCATCAATACAAAGCAACCACAGCCTGGCTCCTTGGTTTGAGAACCCCCTACACGTCTGCACCCACAACACACTCACACTGTCTTGTGATCCTTAACCCTTGGCTGTCCCTGGGTCCCCTGCTCACGCTGAACTTGGGAGATGCAGCTCGCCTGCCTCCTGCCCTGTGCTCCTACCTTTGCCCTGGTGCCTCACACATTTACAGTGCGGCTGCTCAGCCCCCCAGTGACCCCCACGTGCCCCGGGCAGCTGGCCACGTGTGCTGGCCACATGTTCTGGGTCTGTGAGGGTGCTGGGCGGGAGAGAGGAGCTGGGAGGTGGTGGGAATGGCCCCTGGCTGGGCAGCACGCTCCAAGGGGACTCTGCTCTTCAGCCGCCCCGTCGCAGGACACAGGCAGCAGAGCTCGGGCTGTCGCTGCCGGCTGCACAGAGACCTGGCATCCCTGCAGACCTCCTGGCTGCTGCAGTCCATGCTCTCCAGCAGAGCTCCGGGTGGGTGGGAAGGGGGCCTTCCTGGGGGGAAAGGGTGGCATTTTTAGTGCTACCCATTCCACTCCTGAGGCTGCTCGGGTATGTTTTAATCCCTCCTTTTCCTGCTGTTTTTTTTTTTTTTTTTTTAATTATTATTATTTTTGCTCAGTCTTAGTCCTTTTTGCCCACTGATACTTCTCTGCTCTGGCTTTAAAGTCCAGAATAAACTTCCTAGCCAGCCTTTCCCCTATGTTAGCTCTGAACACCTTACTAACTATGAGCAGCACAACCTGTCCAAAATAACCCCAATTGCTGGTTTTACCCTGCTGGGTCCTGCTAGCTCCTTGTGGAGAACTCGCCCCAAACTGTTTGAAACACGCTGGTTAGAGGGGCTGCAAAAGAAATGCCTTTGGGTTAGTCCAGACACAAACTTGCTGTTTGACTAGGCCTGATAGCAAAGGATTTTAACTGAAATAAGCCTAAATAGTATCTCACTCTGTTCTTCGTCAACAGGAGGTTCAAGATGTAAGAGGCAAGCATTGTAAGCCGTCTGCAGGATTTCTTACTATAGGACCCAGAGAGCAGATAACCAGTTGTAGGGAAGGAAACATTTCACTGTTATCATGCTACACAAAAGCAACGCTTCATGCCTTTACATTTGTTCCCCCCACCAAATTGGCTTGCTTTCACAGTACTATTCTCATATAGTAAGATGTACTTGTTTTGAGAAAAAAAAAATCTTTATATACAGGTTGGTTTATTACCTAGCACAGAGGGCAGATATGAATTTAAACTAATCCTATGTTATTATATAACATTTTATTTCATTTGCTATGTAGAGGTTCTGCGTTATTTAACTTTCTTTCGGTTCATGCAAGTCTCTTGGAGATTTAAACTAGAAGGACATGAACTGTACAGTGCAATGATGTTGTGCAAGTAGTGGTGGAGCTCTGTGACCCCTGAAGTCAGGCCAAGAACATAGGAAGGCTCTAAAAAGCATCAGACATCGGTAAGAGCGGACAGCACTATCATGGGCACCAATTACAGGTATTTTGACTAAGGGATTAAACTCGGGGCTACAGGACTAAAGCCGTGGGTGGGTGGATCAATATATCTGCTATTGCAAAGTGGTAGGAGCCACAGCACTGATCTGGTGTCACCTGGCATTTCCTATGTTCCTGTGTTTCTGACAACAAGTTTTAGCACAAAAGGTTTTTTTTTTTTTAATATTTAACTATGTGATCGTGTTGGGAATTGCCAGAGCAGGCAGAGATGCTGCCACGCACTGGGTGTCTGCTAGGCCCATCTGCAGGAGGAGGTCTCAGCCACCAGCCTAGGTGGAGGTGCCTTGGGATGAGCCTTCACCAGCTGTGAAGTGCTGTAGCCTCGATTACTGAACAGCTAGCTGAGGGCTCCAGCATCTTTGGTTGCTCTGGATAGATCCCTGAGGAGGATATCATGTCTTTGGAGAAAAGAGATACCTGGGGCAAGAGAGGAAATAGGGAGGGTCTGCCCATTTTGCCAAAAGAGCGGTGTTTCATAGGCAGACAGCCACTGTACCAGTAGCAGTGGTTCTGTTTGCTCGTGGAATAATCTATCTTCTAGAATTTCCTCTGCAAAGGAAGGAATACCTCCAGGAAGAAATACCACTTCTTGCATCACCTCCCTCTCTCAACCAGAAATTTCTTTTTCTCAAATCTTACCTGTAAAGCAAATATCTTTGCTATATAACCTATGGAAGGAGACACCTGAAGTACTGCAGTAATGATATTATGCTGTGCACTGTGATCTGGGGAAGCACACACTGTCCAAACTGTGTGCAGCACAGTACTTATGTTCGTATGTATTTGTGTGTGTATTGAAAAGCAACTGTAACTGCCTAACATTGCATGTTTTTGCTGGGTGGGTTGCTTCAAAAGGAATCTCTTACCACAGCCTGTGTCAGGAACACTGAAAAGGATGTTTCACTGATCCCTCTTTTTTTTTTGTGGCAGGCATTTTTAATGCCAAAGAGCCATTTTGGCTAGCCCGGGACTGCCTTATTTTGCATTGGATTCAGGTAACCGTCCTGTATGTGTTCTCCTGTCTGTAAAATGGTGCTATTACAGAGTCCTTCAGCTGGGACCAAATCACCTCTTTTGCTTTTAAGTGGAAACCAAGTACTATACTAAAATATGTGGATGTGAGTTTGTTTTTCCCTCTGTTGTTACCATGAACAATTATTGTTGTTACCAAGCTGGTGCTTTTCGTATCATTTATTTCTGTTTTGTAAGGTCTGATGCCACTGTACCTGGGGAGAATTTGATGGTTGATTTCAATGAGAGTAGAATCAGAGTCTCTACTATAGGAGTAAAAGCAGAAAGAACTTGCATGAGAAAATTGAGTCTTTTGTATCTTCGCTGGACTGCACTTTATATCCTACAGTCCATCTCCTGTCCTCACATGAGCATCTGCAACTGCTAATAGTTTGCCAAGAGGCTGACATGTGAGTGTGAAAGCCAAGAATGACTTTGGGGAAAGATGGAAGAGTTTTGGATCTGATCCTGACATGGAACTTGTCTTTCTCACGCCCAGGAAGGGGCATTCCTCACATGTGCTTGCCATCCAACAACAGCTTGAGGTCTGATCTCTTCCCACTGCAGTTAGTGAAGAATTAAATAATCCTGTTTTTAATTCAACAGCATACCTTGCTGATGGTAGAGGTCATGGAGATTTCATTTTTAGGGGGAAACACTGGCTTTCCCTTAAAAGCAGCAGTACAGAGGAGATGCCACCAGTTCAGGCTTACTACCCAAACAGCCCGTAGCGTGGGGTATTTGGCCACCCACGCAAGGTTTGGGCATATCCCTGGCTACTTCATGTCCCTCCATTCCTTAGGAAGGTCCCAAATTCATTGGATTTGAGAGCCCTGCGCCGCAGTGACCTGGTGGGATGGTGGATGAGGCTGCACAGCCTCGGCAGCGTTCGGCGCCAGGCCCCACCAAGAGGGAGCACACTGGGATTGGCACAGGCGGGAATGGTCTCCGGGCACAGGCCCACGTGGCAGCCCGAGCGGCCCCTCTGCCTTGGCAGGACACTGGGAAGGGCAGTGCTGGATCCCAGTGCGGCCCTGGGCAGCACAGCTATAGGGTGAGGATGTTGCAGGCCATGGGCAGACTTCTCCTTGCAGGGGCAGGTTAGTGGGCATTCCGGGAGCATTGGGACATTTGCTACTGGGAAAGGGCATTTGCTACTGTGAGAAGTGTGTCAGTCGCAGAAGGGAGGAAAGGGATCCCTGCAAGGCTAAGGAGCCTTTGCAGACAGGTGACATCCCCAGCACCGCCAGCATTTCTTGGGAATCGCATGGGGTGTCCTGGGCCCCGAGACCCCTGCACTGCCGAGGATTCACTGTGCACACCTGAGAGCTCGGGGCTGCTCCTAGGGGCTGATTGCAGTCCCTCTGCTTGCTCCGTGCCGGAGCGCGGTTCCCTCGGGCAGGCTTTGGTAGTGTGAACGCAGGGGTGCAGCAGGCCTGTCCCTGAAGACAGAGCTAAGTGAGAAGCCTCTAAAAGCTCTCCTGCCTCCCACCAAACCATAACCTTGAGCGGGCAGCCTTCCTGCCGAGGGACATCTGCTGAGGACCACTGAATTGAGAGGAGCCCTTTGCTGGGGGCCACAGGCTGCATCCAGCGTCTTGTGCAGCTCTCTGCCCTGCGCTGCCTTCCTCGTGAGGCAGCACCAACACAAACCTGCTTGGGAAGGGCCTAGATTTCCCTTTCTGCTTTTAACTGTTGACCAAAGACCAAATCAGGGAAAGGAAGGATGGGGAGATGGGAGTGATGTAGGGACCACACGTGAACAAGGGGGGAAAGAGACAGCACTGAAGCAATGCTGAAAGAGCAGATTCCATAAATGTGAAATAGTCGTGTGTGGCGTGATCCGAACTGCAGCTGTCGAATCCTAAGTTCGTTTATTTTGTAAGAATAGATGGTATTTATTGCTGTGCCAAATTATTTTTATTTATGATAGCTTTACACTTGTATATATGAATATCTTATCTGAATTCTGCCTGAGGAAGGATGAAGGTGATTTTTTGATGTGTTTTTAACTAATGTGTTTGAGCATAGGTGACTGTTCATTGGTCTTTTGTGGGGAAGGCTATATTCCAAGTTAAATATACATATTATACTGAAAATGCAGTACCTGCAAAAGTTTCTGTTGCTATTTTCCTTTTGCTCTAACCTGGAGAGTCTTTTTTTGGATTGATGCAATTTATAGCAACCAGGGGCTTCTGAGAAGTCATCACGTAAAGTCTGGATTTTTTATCTACCACCTCCACATGAAGCCAGATCTTACCGGCAAGCAAGAAACGCTGATGGCCACAGAGAAGAAAATATTTATCGTGATGAAAGGGCTGCATGAACCTCCCATCTTCCACTCCTTAAGAACTCAGTGTTGTCAGAATGTGGTATATACTGTATTTTATATTTTTATTAAGTAACAAGAAATATCTTCCCAAATAATGTGAAAAAAGCTTTTGTATTTGTTTTCCTGTAAGGCAGCTTTTATGGAGGAGTTACATTATGCTTTTGAAATTATTCTTTTCATAGAATATTTTGAAAATAAACACATTTATATTGTTGTAATTTCTCTGATAAATATGTATGCACTTATTTTTTTTCTTAATAAAATTGCCTATCTAAATTAAATGATTACTTATTTCTAATTTTTTTTTTCAATAAAACCAGAGTGGTCCTTGCTGGTCCTCCTTCCACAGAGGGAAGCACCTCCAGTCTCGAGGTGGGGAATGGCTTTAGAGCCTTGGCCTGTGGGACTGGCTGTGGAGAGGTTTGATGTCCTCATCACCAAACTCTGATGACGTCAGTGGGAATTTGCTGTGAGTTTCCAATGAATGAGCTGAAACCTGGTTTTGTCCGTGCCCCCCTTTCCCTGGCTGAGCCCCCGGGGTTCCCCTGTGCCCTCCACCACTGCCGGCTCCCCCGCGCTGCCCTTGGCCTGGCCTCGGCAGCCCAGGTGAACCCCAGCCCCACGTACCCACCACTGTGGGCAGAGCCCAGGCCTGGGGGAACTGAACATCTCCCAGCAGAGCGAAATGCTGCTCGAACCTGACCGAGCCTCTTCGTGAGTAAACGTTACTTGGCCAGATCAGCGCAAGGCCAAAGATGTGCAGAAAAAGGAAACTCAAATGACTGATGATCCCTTTACAAACCCAACAGGGATTTGGTAAGTGAACGTGAAAACCAGAGCAGGTAATTACTTATGCAGATGGCCAATGAGAGATTTCCAGGCCACAGGGAAAGACAGTGGGAGTAATTAGCTACAGAATTGTGCCTTATTGTTAAGGAAAGGCCCGGGCACTTCGCTGTGTCTTTCATCAGTTCATTCTTTCTTAAACATGGAAGTTTTGGATCTTACTTCCTTGGCAAAACACTGTGGCAATGTATCTGTAAACTGTGTGAGCAAGCGGCCGCTTTGGAAGCAAAGGTGAAGCCCCGTTGTTAGCACAGCTGGCTCTCCTCATGGGCAGCCTTCCCGTGTTAACAAGCTGCAGGAAATCAGCTGCTTTCACAGCCTCAGCCATCTTGACATTGATTATGGGCAGGATTTACTATGCCCTGGTGTAGGGCAGGTTGGCAGACAGTGTGGGAAATGCTTCTGCTTCTTGGGGATTAGCACCTGCATGGAGGCCTCATCCTGGAGGTAGGTTCCTTGTGGAAGGTGCTGCTGAGCTTTGTGACCTAGTACCTTGTGTGGATGCCTTATCCTGCCTGTGAGTGCAGGATGGGGACTATAGCTGTTGGGAAGGAGTGACAGAATTGCTACCTCCAAGTTTTATAACAGAAGCTTGTCTTTGATGAGCTCCTTGGTGTTGTGACTGACTTGTCTCTGGTGCAGATCCAAGAGCCCTTCTCTTTCATATTGATGGTACTGTGCCTTATGGGTGTGTGGTCTGAATGACTGAAGAGTGTTTGATTTTGAGTGTTTGATTTAAGTATTTGAGTTTAAGTATTAGTGAATCCTCTTGGACAAGGAGATTCCTGGACTATGGTTTTCCTGATATACTCTTGATCTGTATTTCTTAGTTGCCACAAGGCTTGTATCCTTAGTGTGGAGCCCAGCTAGGAAGATTTCTGTATTAGCTGTGTACTTGAACAGGCTGGAGGCTAATAACAGATATCTCCAGGCTTATTATTGGTATTAAACAGCAGAGGAGGTATCTGAATTCTTTCCCCATGCACTTGAGCCATCTTTTAGCCCAAGCTGGGTTTTATTATGCCTGTAATTTAAATGTGATGAAGTGTAATGGGAACAAAAGCACAAAGCGACTCCTGGAAGCTTGAGAGATTCAAACTCTTTTGCTCTAGTCAACTCCATGGCAGCTTTACGTCCCTGCCCAGGGAGTTCTTTGATCCCAACTGTTGGCCCTGCCACAGTGTAGGGAACAGCCTAGTCCCCCTCATTCCAAGGGAGGAATGCTGCTCTGGAGCTGCATTTGTAAGGTAGTGATTCTATTAAAAAGTATAAATGAGTGCAGGTTCTACTTTGCTGCTTTTGTAGCTGTCTCTTCTGTCTGTGCCACAGTATGGGATGAGTGTGGATTTGAATGCAAATTATATGGTGGATCCTAGCTGGGAGAATCTTCTTGGCTTTGCAATCAAAATGTAAGAGGGAATCAAAAAGAAAAAATGCCAATTTCCCTCTCAGGGCAGTGTTCGCTGTGGAGGTTTGTAGTGTGTTTATTGAATTTATTAAGGCGTGTTCACTTGTGGTGGCTTTTGTATTCACTGGTAGTTAACAGTTCTTATTTTATATTGACCAAACAAAGCAGTTGTCTTTAAAATTTTAGGCTCCTTGACAAGTGCAGAAGAAGCATTTTTCAGAGAAGTAGATTAGGTTTTTTTTCCCCTCCCTCAACTTTTCAGAGTAAGAAGAGGGAAAAGTATGAAGAATTTCGTTCTGTAACTGGCACAAGTACATGAACAGCTTGATTGGTTCCAGATACGCTATTTGTTGCTAAAAGCATGTCTATAAATGCCAGCTAACCTGACTTACAATATCTGTATTGTATGCTGTATATACACTGTATATTCTGTACATGGTGGGTGACACTGAGGAGCATGGTAGTGGTCACAGCACCTTGAACAGAAGCAGGAGCCCAGACTTGAGCTCTGCCTCCTGCCAGACATCATTTCATTTCCAGAGGAGCTGGGAAGAGTTGCTGTGTCCTGCACTGCTGTGTATCTGAGCCACTGCCCCAGGTGGAGATTCAGCCCAAGAGAAGTGACAGCTTCTTCTGCTTTAGCTCATAAACTGTGCAACCTTCCTGACTTCCAGCTTTCTTTTCATCCCAGTACCCTTTTCAGTGAGGGGAAAACCAGTTGCTTTTTCCCTGTATGCTGAATTCAATAGAAAATCTTTCAATGGGCTCTGGATCATGCCTTATAATAACCTTTATGTGGCCAGTACATTATGACAAGTTCTGACATTTATCCAAAGCTCAAAACAACTTGAATGACCATTACCTGGGGCTGTTACAAGGTGAAAAGGTTTCAGGGACAGGGCAAATGTTTGTTGGAAGCTGTTTTCTATTTAATGAACATTGATAAGAGCAAAATTTAGCAGCTGTCTAAGGAGACATGGGTGTAGAGGAGGGCTGTTCCCTGATGGAAGAAGCTTCTAGATGATGGTGATGAAGGGAAAGCTGCCACATCGAGGCTTATCTCCAAGGAACACCTAGATTTCTTGACTGCTTGCTTGTATTAGGGGCACTATTAGCAAAGAACTGGATGGAAATACTGTTAAAATCAGAAGCATGATATGACCCAAATGTTGAGTACGTTATGTAGGAGCTTCTGTGGTGCTACATGACAAGGGTCAGTCCTATCTCCTGGTGAAGATCTTCTTGTCTTATAAAGCTATTTGCTTTAAAGTGGTCCAGAGAGTGTCATAGACAAAAGTCGTTTCTAGCTTTAAGACTAGCGGAAAAGGCAAAATGAAAACAAAAAACCAAACTCTAGAAGCTGAAGTCAGCTAGAGAAAGTCGAACAGAAAATAAGATGCAGATTTCTAAGTGTGGAATTGATTAGCCTTTGGAACCAGCTCCTCTGGAGAGGAAGGGAAAGCCCCAGTCTGGTCTGTGTCTCCAGACCCAGACTGGACACCACCGTGGTGTCCATTAGCTACATAGAGCTGACTGGGCCCTCAGGGGACACGGGGTGAAATCCTCTCCTCTTTTACAGAGTGGGCAGACTGGAAGAGCTATGAGTCCCTAATCCTTGGCCTTAACAGATCCATATGCAGAAAGCCCTGGTTCCAGGGAGCATTCCTCAGCCTGCCTGTGATTAATAACACCAGTAACTCGGCAAGGCCGGTGCTGCTGGGAATGAGGCCGAGTTTGGCTCCTGCTGTCACATGGGAGACAGCTTTGGGGTAGAGGGGCCCTGTAGTTGGTTATGACGGTTCAGAAGCTGGTGGTGCAGAGGCAAATCAGAGAAGGTTGCAACTTGGCCACTCACTGTCCATGATCCATGTGTCCTGGTTCAGCAGGGAGCAGGGTCTGCTCGGGCAGCTCCTCTCAGCCTGGAGAGCTGGCGCTTTGTTTGTAGAACCCCCTTGAGCTTCTTCCTTCATTCCATTCTGCTGCTGCCTTTGTTTGCCCTTCATTCCTTCTTCCTGCTCGCAAAGGATCTTTCTTTTTCCCAGTTGTCTCCCTCCCCTCCTGAGCTGACCAGACCAAACCTCTCACAGCTTTGGTGACTTAGAGCCTTCTGTCCCTCTGCCAGCCGTCACCATCATCCTGCCTTCCCTGCCCCGTCAGTGTTCTGGATGGGGGCAGAGGTTCACTGCTGTTATCTGGAGGCCACATCCGGGCACATCCTCCTCTCTCTCTTGTATCGGAGCAGAACCCAGGGTCCTTGTAGAGAGGAGCTGTCTGAACGCTGCTGCCGAGCTCCGTGGCTGGTGTTCTGGGCTTGTTCCCATCAGTTAAGTTTGATATGTCCTTTCATTGCCTGCCACAGCACCGCCCTTTGGCACATCAGTGTTTCCTCAGCTCGCATTCCTCCTTATTTCTTCCTTTACTGCCAGACGTTCCTTGCAGTAGCTGTTTAGGAAAAACGTCCATCTTTTATTGCTTCCTACTGCCAGCAAAGAGCTGAACCTGGACGCACTGGCTTTGAGAGATGGCAGGGACGAGAGGGCGCTTTAATCTTTTGGCAAACCAAAACGGCAAACCTCAGCATATCTCCAACCTGAACTTAGGGTGTCTGTAAAAAGATGGTAGAACGCAGTCTAGAAAGTTGCTTAGAAAGCTGCTGCAGCTGACTGAAACCTCAAACTATTTTTTTCCCCTTACCACCCCAAATATCCACAATCATTTCCAGCTGTCTGACGTGCAGTGTGTTTTATTGCAGTGCCTGGAAGAGTATTTTGGCTGTGGTGATGCATGTTTGTACGTTGCCTGTAAAAACAGTCTCTGAAGAAAGGAGTCTCTCGATGTTGCTCAGCGTGTAACCAAGCTCGGTCCAGGCACATGTGCAACAAGGAGGGAGAGAATGGCCAAGTTCTTCTCGTATACAGTATTGCAGCTATGCATAAAATCAATAGAAGTTTAATATCTAACACGCGCTATCTCTCTGCTTCTGAGAACCACAGAGACTCTTAAAAAATACTTCAGACTATACTGCACAATTTCTGTTAAAAAAGGAAGACTACTTTTGTGAGCAAATGCTAAGCCCCATTGAATAGCTTGGCCCATGCTTCCTAAATGGGAGCCTTTCCACGGGGCAGAGTGCTAGCAAAATAGCTCTGCCTGGGATATTTGAGGAAGAAGAAGAAAGGAAATATTCCTGTCAAAGTACAAAGAGTATGAATGCAGTATGAGCCAGACCCTGTGTGCCAGGTCCATACCCACAGAAGCGGCTGGATAACTACCCTCCTGTTAAGTGCCCACATTGAAAATTAAGGCCCTCAAGATAACCCTCAGTCTGTTTCTCAGTGCGGCGAGCCTGGTGTTTCTGCCAGCTCTGCCACTGCCCCGAGCCTGTTGCTGAGTGACAGGTTCATCTCCTTCCCTGGAGCGGCTCTGGAGTCCCAGGGGAGACATCTGGAAAGGAGGCAGGGAGGGGAGTCCAGGGGCATTTCCAGAGCGTACACATTATCCTGGTCTGCACTCCCCCATCTTATATCCTGTCTGTTCTTCCAATCTAACTTTATTTCTGTCTGTTATTGCTATTCTATTTATATGTGATCAGTGCAAGAGATCAGACTCCACTGGGCAGGATTGGCACAAGCTGGATGATAAAGACAGTCCCTACCTGAGAGTTCATGGCTGAAGTTCTGTTCTGCTGGGCTCTCTCTCAAATATGCGTGTTGCAGAGAATGCAGGTGTCTGTGTCCTCATTGGGTGCTGGAGAAGCATCACACGAGATACGGGGTGGCTTATCAAGCAAGTCATGAAGCACAGATCAGCTACTCACATTCAGCTCCTTTGCCGTAGGCAAAATCTGGCTAGCAGGAAGTATCTTGGCTCCTTGGAGGGGAGGAGGAATGAAAAGAGATAATGGAGAAGTGGTAAGGAGAAGCGAGCAGGAGAAGCCAGGCCTTGCAGGCGTTGGGCTGCAGGGGATAGAGCCTGGAGAGGGATGCTGTGGGGCAGGAGAGCTGCAGCTCGCTGCATGGCTCCCAAGGGACTTGCTCCCATGTGAGTCCTCGCAGCGCTCATCCCATGTATCCCGGATCCTGGGCACCCTGCCACCCTGGCGCCTCCCCTCTCTTCCTTCCCCTCCCTCCTTCCTCACTTTTAACTCTTCTAAGGTTTCTCTTTCCTACTGCCATGTTGTTGCTGACTTTGGACATTCTTTATTTGCCTTTTATCAGGCGGCCCAGTGCTCACACGCTGTGTGCTGGTTTGGCCTGCGTTGCTTTTTTTCTTTCTATTTGTGCAAAAACAAAAGCTTTATCTATTGCACAGAGACCATGGTGACTTCAGGGCCTTCCCAGTGCCAGCACCTAATTGCAACCAAATGCAAGTCGCCAGCTCTGTCCCCAGCAGTGCAGTGCCTTGGGTGGGAGGACTCGCTCCCCATGCGCTGTGGGAGGGCTGCAGTGCACGGGACTTGCTCTTCCTTTACCAGAGCATCTCGGAGTGCTCTCTGGCTGCCAGCGAGCTAGCTGCTCGGGAGCAGGAAGAGGAGGTGCAAGAGCCACTCTGCTCATGACACGTCGATCTCAAGTATGTATCTTTCCCTTAATCTCAATGAATTGCATTGGTTGTTGACTGCAGTGAACAATCTGGACACTCTTCAAAAATCCTTACAGAACACACAAGCAAAAGACAATGTTTTCATTCCATTTCTGTCTGTCTTTCAGACCCACAAAGGCATCATGCTCTGACAAGGACTGCTAGAGCTAGAGACAAGAACTCTGGCTAGAGCTGCTTAGGAAAGGGGTCCCACGCTTCCACTATATGGGCTCGCGTGCTGTATGCATGCTCCTCAGCCCAGGAAGTAATTGGAACTGCCTGAAAATGATTTTCCTCCAGGAGAAAGAGGGAGCGCTTTCTACTTTGACATTTGTTTTCATTCCGAAGTAGCACAAGAAAGTCTGGATGCCATGTTTTCTTGTGGAATGGCCTTGGAATGGGAGGAATTTCATTAGGAAATGACAAAACAGTTTGTTCTGCTCAAAGTGGCAGGGAATTGCATTTGCCTGCTTGTCACAGCAACTCATAAGCTTAGTTCTAGCAAATCCACCCCATCCCGAGGTTCCCAAGCTCTGATAAGGTAAAATGCCTTGTTTTGACTTCAACATTTCAAATATGATCTAATAATATATTACAGCAGAACATCAAAAGTAGATTTTTTTTTTCTTTTTGAAATGAAATATATTCCCAAATCATTTTTTATTTCCAGAAGTTTTCTTCCTGCTGGAAACTGCAACATTCTGACTTCATGAGCCAATTAATAATGGAAACAAAGGAGTAAACATCAGCAGTTCTCAGGGGAAAACTCTTTTGACTAATTCTACCAGCCAATCAAAACCATAGTGAGGAGGTGCAGAGGAGCAAAAGATCTGTCCTTCTGCTCCTCCTGGTCCCCTTCAGTGCTGGGGCTGGGATCTGTCTCCAGCAGTAGTGAGCTTGCAGTTTAGGAGGTGAAGGAGTGAGGGTGCCCAGCACTGGTGTTTTGCATCAGGACCTGGGAACTGTGGAAGGAATCGTGCAGCAGCCGACGTGGATGAGTCTTCTACATGCAGATCCCTTTGGGGGCCTTCTCTGTCATAGATTTGAATTAGGCTCAGGATATGAATCTACAAATGTGGTATTTTGGGTCATGCTGCCTGTTTTACATTAAATCTTTGCAGCCTGTTTCTTTGTCATTTCCCTTCAGCAGCTGTGCAGGGTGCAGAAGTGTCTTGACTCCAGCAGACAAGAAAGCAGAGGAGATGGAACATACGGGACCTTTGTATTGTTATATGGAACCCACTGTACTGTTGTAGACGCATTATTTGAGGTCTCAGTGGTGGGAGGAATGGAAGAGAGGAGCAGTGTCACTCGGAGGAGGCAGGCGAAGTCCCAGGGTCCGAGTGTTGTCCGTGTTTGGAAGTTGTGATGAGGCTTGCACTGCAAACTCATGACCTCTTCCCAGGTTTGTGAACTTGGGGTCAAGACCACCGGAGAAGCAGGTATTGTGCAAGATGGGTTCTAGGCACAGGTAGGATGGTCTTTTTTTCTGTCTTTGGTGCAAGATTTCACTAAAACCAAAGCTGAGGATATAGTTTTTAATACAGCTTTATTCCAAATTAAGAAAAACGGATAAAGAAGCAGAGCTAGTGCTTGATTCTTAACACAAAGAATTTGCCTCTGGCACAACATGTGCTGATGCTCATACACACCATCCTCTTGGAGTCTTTTGGACCTGATTCTGCTCCTAAAGTCACTTTATCCATTTAGTAATTGCTTAAAAAAAGTGCCTAAATTTGATGTGTGTGGACTTAATGACAGGGAAGACAAAGTCTGTGGATTTATTTTGGATTTATACTGTATAACCAAGATTAGAACTTGGCCAAGCATTCTTCCCTTGGACTTTTCAGTTGCCTCTTTGTACGAGTTGCTTAGGACCTATAGATGTGAACTCTTTGAACACTTGCCTTCAGAGGAATTAAATTAGATTATCTGCAGCTTTCATCTTGCAGTCCCCGATGCTCAGACTTTGGCAATTGTCCTTCAACAGAAGAGCAGCCATGGGGACCTGCAGAGCACCTCGCCGCAGGCTTTCCTGCACAGAGACACAGATAGGATTTCTTCTCAGGCCAAGCATATGTTCAGTGTTTGCTAAGAAGTAAAATACAGAGAAGGCTGAGGCAAAACCCACAATAACACACCATGAGGAGCTTGTCACTTGTAACAAAACAAACCATTAGAGCTAGAAGGCTTGCTGCTTCCCAAATACAGAAACCAAGAAGTAGTTACATCTGCCTAGAGCTGAACAGATTGAAATGGAAATGGCAGTCATGTGGAAGATGACTGCAGGAAAAATTCAAAAGAGAAGCGTTCTCCACTTTTATTGATGCATGTGGTTCAAAGCAAAATTATATCAAATTCAAAACTGATTTTTTTTTTATTATTCCCTCTTTTTCATCCTCCTTTATTGGAAAAAGGAAATGTATGTGTCTAAATACTTTAAAACAAATCCTCAGAGAATCACTTAATAGAAACATAAGGAAGAAAAAGTCTTTTCCATGTGGAAATATAATGCTTTTGTTGTGCTTTATTTTTAATTTTATGTCAATGTTCTTTTATATGAATATTGGTAAGGGGGAAAAATGAGAGTCCTCCTCCTGTTCCTTCAAGAAATTACTAAAAAGAAGGAAGAGAAAGTGAAAACTCTGGAAAACCAGTACTGCTTCTTGCTTAATTAAAAAAAAAAAAAAAAGCCCAAAATTTCTCAAAATGAAATGAAATAATTTGTTGTTCCCCTCTTGACCTGCTGACTGTAAACAAATTGAACACCCACCTCCTCCATTCAAAACTTTCAGAACTTTTTCTGACAAGACAGGCTTTTTGAGAGAAGAATATTTATCATCAAGGGATGTTATCCTATGGTTACAAGATCAGAAATGTGGAATTCCTGAAGGGGCAGTGCAGGCTGGTAAGCAGCATGCTAGTCTCGACGCAGGGCTGGTATTCGTACTCCACTGCAAGCAGAGTAGGGCAACTTCGAGCCAGTCTCTGAGGTGACATGCACACAGAAAGGTGGCTGTAGGCTCCTAATCCTACTTTACTTCTGGTGCCTAAGCTACTCCCAGACAGGTGGCCACAAAACCTGAGTGCCCACAGGTGCAGACTTGTGTGGATCTAGACACTGGGCTCTTGTGTCTGCTTGTGAGGGAGGTACCATCACACTTCACAACATTGAGCAGTTGTCTCTACGCTATCTTTCTAAGTAAATTCAGCAAATTTTCCACTATGTGGAAAGGTTATGAGGGATTGTGACTGTG